ATATATATATATATATCGATATATATATTTATATATACATTATACAAATATATAACTTGTAACTTACTGGAAAAACTTGAAGGCTTTGACTGTGAATCTTCTGGAGGAGAACAAATCCTTCAGCGTGTCCTCACAGATCGAGGAGCTAGGAGACGAGGATGGACAAGAGGACAGAGACATGAGGACTGAGACACGAGGACTGAGACACGAGGCTGTCAGGTAGAACAGGAAGTGGGCGGTCTTACGGGATGTTGGACAGGTGCAGTGTCGCGGATGGAGGGAAAATATTGTTGAAGTTTTTGGATCCAGGTTTTTTGAAGCGGTGGAGGGCGGAGCCTGAGAAGTCCTGTGTCAGTGCCTGTTCTTCATGCCCCGCCCCCACACGGGGCAGCTGCACCACAGGGTGTTTRGACAGCGTCACCCGGATGACGTTACCATGGAGACGCTGTCCGTTCAGGTGACTCATAGCTGTGAAGATTGAAAATATGTTGATTTGAAAGATATAAAGCCAAGGTTAATAAAAAGTGAACTTCTGTGYGCTGGAAGAGATGTGTTTTAAAACAAATAAAGAGTTTCTGACCGAGCTGGGCCTGAGTGGAATCACTCATCTGAATCAAAGCATTTTCTTTCTTATTGAAGAGAAGTTTTACTCTCTGAACATCTCCATAAACACCTGAAAAACAGTCAACAACGAGAGGTAAACAACAACAGGTCAATAATGAGAGGTAAACAACAACAGGTAAACAACATCAGAAGATTGAGGAGCAGCTGAGTAAAACTGATGAGTTTTTTTTAAAAAATCTTCTCACCGAACAGGATGAAGAGGCAGTGAGGAGAGACTTTCTGCACAAACAAACAGTGTCAATAAAGTTAGTTCAAACTGCTGCGYTCTGATTGGTCAGCACCTACAGCTGTGTCTCAGTTCATGAGCTGCATCCTGGTGAGCACGTAGCCCAGCCGGACCACCTGGACCACATCCTTCCAGTCCAGGTGGTCCATGAAACTGCTGTGAGCTGAGACGACTCGTCTTCACGTGACGTCAGTCTGTGACCTGCTCTGCCAACAGGAAGTCAGTCTGTGACCTGCTCTGACAACAGGAAGTCAGTCTGTGACCTGCTCTGACAACAGGAAGTCAGTCTGTGACCTGCTCTGACAACAGGAAGTCAGTCTGTGACCTGCTCTGACAACAGGAAGTCAGTCTGTGACCTGCTCTGACA